ATTCTCCTCTCACCTTGGGGCAACTCCCTGACTTCACTGGAGTTACTCCCTCCAGACATACACCACTATGGACATGTTCCAATCAAGCCGCTTATAGCTCACCGTAATGCTGGATTTGGACAGATTCACACAGCCCCTGAACAGGATTTTAATATACAAGCACAGTGACAGAAATCTTTTATTTTTAAATCTCAATTGGAGAAACGCCTCTCAGTTCTGCCTAGAAAGAATTGGCTGATACAGTGCCTCACACACCCACTTCCTTTAATGTCCAGCAGGATTTCACCTTTGCACAACTGTTAATAAGCATAATTTTAGGAGACCCATTGTGGCTGACAGTGTCAATATATATTAAGGTCACCAGCGCATATGGTTGCGCATTAAAGGCTTTGCTAGGTAAAGCAGTAAAGACTATCCGTATGAGTTGATGGTTTTGAGGGGTGATCCTGCTTCATATACCCCTGTCTACTCAACAGTCTGCAATCCAGAGCTCAAGCAGGCAGGATGAGTATGGTGCTGTTTCCCCCAATATCATTACAGCCAGCTATGCTTTTCCAGCTGGAGGGAAAACAGCACTTCTTTTAAAAGCATTCAATATGCAAAAAGAACTTGAAGTGGGAGATAAGTTTGACATCATCAAAACCAGCATGGGAATCATGTTCTGTGGGTGTTGATACAGGCATCAGGATGATGCTCAAGGTAGCACAGAGCAAATCATGAGCTTTGTGATGTCAAAATTCTACTAAGTTACTCTATAATATTCAAAGGAACAAGTTCACAAAAAATAGCACATTTCATTCTAGTAACATTCGCATTCCTTCAATTATTCAGCAATTTGAAAAAGACCTCATGGAGTTTAATTTCAGCTAAAGACGGTAACCAGAACAATGTAAAGGTCTGAAGCAAAAACATGAGTGCAACTCTCTGCAAGCAAACCAGAGGATTTTTGCAGCCCGTTACGATAAAATTGACCCAATTCTCCCCTCTCACACACTACTTTTCACCAGTGTAACACCACTGCAGTCAGTGGTGAAAATCTTATGGCTCATTCTTTAAGCCATACAGTCCTCTACCTTCTCTAAAATTGGGCAAGTTAAATATGCAGTATTGTATCTTCAGGAGGCAAATACATGACTGCAGGATGTCTCGCTACCAGATACTTGAATGTGAGTGTCTGGAATTATATAAAGCCTCTAGATTTAGAGACTGGGAAATGACTTCTTCACTCATTGCCTTTTCTTTCTGACGGACAGGATCCCTGAACTGAAAGATGTACAGCTGGCCAGACTACAAACACTTATTGCCCCATAGAAATGGAGTGTTTTTATTAGTTTGTTGTTGTTCAGACTTTCTAGCTGTGACTTTAAAAGCCATAGCACCCAGGAATTGTAACAGGTGACTCACCTCGAGGAGCGTGGCTGGCTCTGAATGAATCCAGGCAAGATGGAAGTGATGTTTGGTGTCCCAGGACACCAGGCGAGTGTCATTCAGTATCCAACCACCCCACAGTGGGTCCCCAGCTACAAGCCGCTGTATAGTAAGTTACCAAGTGAGACAGTCATTTCATTGTTTGTTTTTTTCATCTTTCAGATAAACAAAGAGAATATATGGACCCTACAGAAACTAGCCCAGAAATACCATGCAGGGCCCCTTAAAAATGTATGGGATAAGAGTGATAAACAAACAGAGACCCTCAGACCTGTCAATATACAGCTTCCACTCAAAGAAAGCATTAAAGAGCAGCAGCTATCAGGAATTAAAGCTTCTTCCAAGCAGCACATTAAAAATGTATACAACAGGTAAATACAGGTGTGTAAAAATACATAAATGCTACTCTGCTGGCTAAGTTATAATTAGCCGACAAAATGCTGGAGTGCAGAAGGGGATCTACATGGTATAAAATATTAAATCAAGAAATAACTCCAAGTCAGCAGTGCTGCATTATATGTCAAAGAACGGTGGATCAGGGGAGCTAAAAATAGACGGGAAGGCTGAAGCAGAATTGACAGTAGCAAATGGGGAAAGGGGTTCATCAGCAACATACAGACATGGGATGAGCTACAGCTCGGGAGGTTCCAGGGGGCCAGATTCCTTGCTTCATTCATAAAACATTCAAATCTCTACATAAGCTTTTACAATTAACAAAGGAAGAAACGTGAATGAAGCTGAATTCAACATGAAACAATGGATGTTACCATTCTCTGTATATATAAAATCTCCCCACTGTATTTTCCACTGAATGCATTCGATGAAGTGAGCTGTAGCTCACAAAAGCTTATGCTCAAATAAATTGGTTAGTCTCTAAGGTGCCACAAGTCCTCCTTTTCTTTTTGCGGATACAGACCAACACGGCTGCTGCTCTGAAACCTGTCAATGTTCATACTTAAATCTATTCATTTTGAAGGCTGGCAAGACTGACACTTGCTTTGGAAACTCTTATTTATGCTTATATTTTTCTGATGAATAACTGAAGGAAAGAGGTCTTGTTGGACAACAAAACCCGAAGGACAGCACATAAAAAGCTGAAGTCTGTAAGATACTTGGTCTTTAATGAACAAGAAATGAGAAGCTTGTAACCTTGAAGCAATGAGCCGAACATTTGTTTTTAGAAAGACATGTTTGCAAGTGCAGTTTGAAGGCTTTGTGTTAGCTGTTTACTAAAGACAAACCTCCCCACAGCATTTCAAGTGAAAGGAACAGCTACAGACACTTCTAAAACCCTTTGTGCTGTGGCAGCGACCCTCCAAGGAGCTCTCGCACCCCTGGAGTCATCCAGATCACGACAGAAAAAATCAAACATTTTGCAAAGGTATTTTGGGCCTTGCTCCCCAGAATTAGGGTTAGGAGCCATGTCATCTTTGTCCCTGTGTGTTTGTACCACTGGTGAGCTGGTATCTATCAATGAGATGCAGGAGCACAGAGGCAGGAATTCAAGTACAGGTGAGGTTTCCCCAAACTACAAAGGGCAAAAAGTTTGCCTTTCCTTTCCCATGACTCTGAGGGGGAATTTGCCCACTCCAGTATTTATAAAGCAGTCAGCGACAGCTAGGAGAGAACATGGAAATGGAAGAATGCAGGACAAGAAGTGATATGGCCAGTGATGTTCTGAACTCATTCAGCTACTGCTCCCCAAAGAAAAGCAGCCGTGACATTACTGGCTCGCTCCTGGTTCCCCCTGGCTCCAGACCAGCTGAATCACCCAGAGCGCTGGGGACAACTACTCCCTTGCCCTCTCAGGGTAGCATTCTCTGCCCTAGGAGCTATGGCCATTTTAAACAACAACAGTAGAATACTGAGGTGTAACTGCATTAACAGATCGGACAGATGTAGACAGTTATCAAGGCTAAATGAAACTGGCACAGCAGAGCAGAAATGCAACACTGGACAGCGAGCGGACGACAGCAGCCAGAATTTGGCAAGTTCACATGCTAGCAAGTAACTCACATTCACATACCTAAGGCAGCGGTAACATTTAGGGCGTAGGGCAGGGGCGGGCAAACTTTTTGGCCCTTGGGCCACATCTGGGAATGGAAATTGTATGGTGGGCCATGAATGCTCATGAAATTGGAGTTAGTATGTGGGAGGGGATGAGGACTCCGGCTGGGGATGAGGGGTTTGGGGTGTAGGAGGGTACTCCAGGCTGGGACCGAGGGTTTTGGAGGGCGGGAGGAGGTCAGAGGTGCAGGCTGTGGGTGGCGCTTACCTCAAGCAGCTCCTGGAAGCAGCGGCATGTGCCCCCTCCAGCTCCTATGTAGAGGCACAGCCATCCGCAGGGGCCTCCCCTGCAGCTCCCGCAGCAGCATGTCCCCCCTCCAACTCCTATGGGGAGGCGTGGCCAGGTGGCTCTGCATGCTGCCCTGTTGGCTGGCGCCACACCTGCAGCTCCCATTGGCTGTGGTTCCTGGCCAATGGGAGTGTGGGGGTGACGCTTGGGGCAGGGACAGCATATGGAGCCCCCTGGCTGCCCCTACACATAGGAGCCGGAGGGAGGACATGTCGCTGCTTACGGGAGACGCGCGGAGCCACAGCATGTGCAGAGCAAGGCAAGACCCTGGCCCCACTCCCCAACCACAGCACCAGAGCAGGGCAAGCTCCAGACCCCGCTCCCCGGCAGTAGCTCGAGGGCCAGATTAAAATGTCTGCTGGCTGGATGCAGATGCCCAGCTGGCACTGGGAGAGTCATCTATAAATAACCCCTTTCTTACCTTGCTGTCCAGGGGCTCCAGAAGCTGCCCATCTGTGTGTGTGTGGGGGTGGGGGGGTGGGAGAGAGAGACTACCTGGAGTTGGTTGTGTGTGTTAGATCCCCTTAAAGAGGGATCAAAACCAAGCAGAGAAACACCCAAACACCCTGCAGACTCAGCTTTGGAGAACTGCACAACCCTGGCGTGGCTCCTCTTGGCACGTCTCAAGGCAGGACAGTTGCCTTTTGCCTCCACTGGGCATCCAAACTGTGACAGTGAATCAGCCTGCTGGGACATTTTTCTTGTGTACTCAGTGGTTTCCTAGCAATCACTGTGGCTCCGCAGGCCAGACAGCCAAAGCTGAGTCAAGGGCTCCAAATGTGGTCATAGTCTATCGCTGATCTCCTGTGTTATTCTGCAGCAAAATTACAGGCTTAAGATGGGGAGATGCCAGGAAAGACGTGTGGGCTTTTGACCAGACCTGCTCAGCCCAACACAAATACGAGTCTGACCAGAGTAGCTAAGAACAGGAAACGTACAGGAAACATGAAGCCCACTGGCCAGGCAGGCTCCATCCTCCCTAACACCATGACTCTCTTGAAAATTGGCTCATTCGAGTGATTCTAGCCTCAGCACAGAAATAGCCCAAATCACCCTTTTCAGAGCAACGGGGGCGACCAGAAAGCACTGGGTAGTACCTTCTGTTTGTGAAAGGAGCGAGGCCTTACAACAAGAAGTTATTCTTGTGCTGCTCCACAACCCGGGGCTTCACATAATGCAGCACAAAGGTTGAGCTCTTTAAATGAAGAATTCTTACCACCAGCTGTGGAACAGGTAGAGGCTTCCCCTCCTTGCTCAGGGATACATAGGTAAAGAATGCACTGACAGCGCGATATCTTTCTTTAGGCTCATCAACAAAAGGATCAGCATCAACGAAGACCTCAATCTCCATGGATTTATTGCTCGTGAAGGTCATGCGTCCGGAAATAGTAATGATACAACCTGCAAAACACAGATGGCTTGGTTAATCAGTGGCTCCCACAGTGGCAGCAGGAAACAATAGCCATCCATTACTTAGACTGTTAAAATACTATACGGCTAAATGGGCTAACATTAGGGTTAGGAGCAACTGAAAGGCTAGACCGATTTTTTGTTAGGTAACAAAAGAGGAACGACAAGTCTTGGAATATTTCTTTCCAACTGTCGCTGTTATTTTTGTTTCCCTTTCTCTGGTTGTGGGAATTTCCACACTCCAGGATGGCACTAGCCAGCTGAGAGGAGTAACTGATATCTTGTCTAGCCAGGCAAACTCAGTCTCTATCTGGAATGTCTGCAACCAAATGCCAGTCAACCTACAGTACCATATCCTTTATTAAGGTGTCAACAGTCAACCTCCACTATGGAGCACCTTTCACAACAGGCTCTGACTGCACCCCGAGCACCCGTGTGAGCTAAGAGACATAGCGATTTCTCCCACCACTGAAATGCATCCATCTCTCAGGCAGAACATGGCTGCTGTTAGCACAAGAGCAAAACAATACCAGTTTAGGACAGGAAACGAGGAATACAATTTACAACGGGAAGCTCAGGGGGAATTTAGGGAGGTAAGATATTTGGAATTTGGTCATATCATGGCAACTCCACTATTCTACTAGCAGTGCCACAGGAGCTACAAAGGACGACAAGAGATCGGGATTTTGGTTTTGTATCTTCTCTGTAATACAGCATTGCTTCCCATCACCATGCTGGGGCAATGACTGCAAGGGAAGAGTAGCACCAACCGAATCACAAAAACACCTTCCTGGAGCGTCCAGCCAGGCAGTTTCCCTTCAGTGCACAGCTCTGAACAGACCCAACTAAGCCTGAGAGATCAGATAGGATCAAAGCACAGGGGGTATGGAGTATGGCTGGAGGAGTTCACGTACACGGAAACTAGAGCAGAACAAACATTGGCTGCATAATGACATTTGTTGAAATCTGCCTGTAACCTGCTGACCTGAAATGTAACTATTAATTCTAGGGCCAATCATTCTGGATTTTAACCGAAGGCATAGTAGGTAAACCACGTTCCACCGCATGCACGGATATCAAAGCGAGTTAGTTGGGATGTGGAGCTGGATACTTCAGCAGAGAAAATGGAGCTGAGCTCTCCCAGGACTGGTACGAGGAGAGGTTTTTCTGGGATGGGAAAGAAGCTGTAGTAGTGTGAGGGACCTTGCTATGTAGTATATTTAAATATCAGTCCTGTGCTTAAAGGCAGGAAGGGGTTCTTTGCCATATCATATTTCGGCAATGGGTCAGGGCGACAGGGGCTCCACGGCACTGAAAAAGGTCCATGTAGCTTTAAGATCTACCCTGGGCTGATACTCAATGTTCTGTAGCAATAGCAGGAGAGATGGGGCATGAAGGCAGCCTTGGACAGGCTGTTGCACACACAGCTGTAATGACAGTGCGTCCAACATCAAAGCATTGTACAAACGTTAGCCAATCCTCAACCGCCCACTGAGGCAGGTGAGCATGAACCTTCTTTCAGAGACAGGAAACTGAGGCACAGACACACCAGGTATGTCCAGCTCCCCAGAGTTCAGGCCTAAAACTTAGGTGTTCCTGTTTCCCAGTCCTGAGCTCAATCCATTAGATCACAGTGCTATGAGGTCTGGCAATGGGGGAGGTTTAGGTTGGATATTAGGAAAAACTTTTTCACTAGGAGGGTGGTGAAACACTGGAATGCGTTACCTAGGGAGGTGGTGGAATCCCCTTCCTTAGAAGTTTTTAAGGTCAGGCTTGACAAAGCCCTGGCTGGGATGATTTAGTTGGGATTGGTCCTGCTCTGGGCAGGGGGTTGGACTAGATGGCCTCCAGAGGTCCCTTCCAACTCTGTTATTCTATGATTCTTTGATGCTAGAAGAGGAAAGAGGAGATGCACTGTTTGTATACCAGGACTATGGATGGACTCCCCTACACACTTTAGGCCACGACTGACTGCCTCAAGCAATGAGCATGCATAATATGGCAGCTTTTGGGGGCACAGCCCCATGGAGAGGCCTAAAGTCCTTCTACCCCATCACCCTGAGAAAGTGTTCTGTTTTGAACACACTTCCCACATTAGGGACATTCCTGAAAATACACGTCTATGTGGAGCAAAACCGAACAGGCGGAGTCTCTGGCAGACTCAGGAGATGGTCTCCACGTGCTATGCAGACAGAACGCATTAGTCGTAACTAACGGTTCGCAGCATACGGGTCTTTCGGAAAAGTTGCAGTTCACCATAGAATCTGAACTTGGAGTGCTGCAGCGAGTCTCTCTGTTCAGTCTCCCGCCGAACCTACTCCTCATTCGCGTTGGCTTAGCCAAATGCAGATGCACTTCACATTTTTAACAATTAAACTTTTTTTTGAAGTGGGATTGCACTTTTATTTCAGTACAAAAATACAGTCTCTGCCCCTTAAGTGGAAGAACCAATGCAGCACATGGACTAGTGACTAGTAATTTAGGAGACAAATAGTTAAGGGAGGAGATGTGCAGAAAATCAGCGACGGATAGATTCACCTAATGAGTTTTGATATTTAAAAGAAAAACCAGCAGGCTCCCCATGCTAATCATTGCCATGACCTATCATTTGAAACCTACTTTGTAAGATGAATAAGTAGAAATGAATTCCAATATATTTCACTTATAATGGAACACAAATACGGTCAAACTCCACAATGAAGATAATCACATTTTCTCAGAACTGTTACAGAACAGCAGAATACATACCAGACTGCAGTAATGTAACTTAAATAGCAATCAGTGCTAGTTTGGCTGTATGATAAACGTACTGCAGGTCAATTGTATTAGAATCTCTTTCTGGACTATGGGGCTCCTGTCTTAGCTTCTTTGTTTTCTGGGACTCCATTACATCCTGTTACTGTAACATTTCTGTGCACATCTTGAGACCAAATGAAGGTAGGAACTGCCATATTAGAGCAGGCCAACGGTCCATAATATCCAGGCTCCCATCACAGGCCACAGTCAGTAGCTGATGCCTCAGAGGAAGCCAAAGTTCAAACCGAACGTGCACTGTGCTTCACATGGGGGACCAAGCCAACTCTCCAACACATCCCATACGGAAAGAATGGCTGCACTATGGTACACTGCAGCGCTCCCTCTTTCTCGGGTTCTGAGGTATGGAGAAGGACAGAGTGCCTTCAGGGTAAACCTAATCAGAAAGGGGAAACACCACAAGGATGGACACCCACAGCCTTCAGCCACAAGCCCCTTACCTAAATGGAGAGACGTCATCTTGCCTAAATCAAACGATTGCCAGGTATAAAGTCCAATGGAACAGCACTGCAGAGCTTACAGCACCAAAGTAACACTCAGAACCTTTCACCAGGGAACAGGGACAATGTTTTGGGCACGTACAGCCCTTTCCCTGTGCATCGTGCCATGAAAGGGTAGGCACAAATTGCCACCTCATTTCTACCATGCTAAGGTGCCTCGGGGCTTGCCAAATCATTTAGGTGATTATGAAGTGCTTATTGAACCTATAACTGTGAACTCTCTACAGCTGTCACTGAGTTAATGCAACCCACCAGCATGAAGAATCCTACACACTGACATGCCGAAAAGGATATTTCGCTTTCAATACATGTCATTAACAAGGGTCTCATTTAGGGATTTATACTCACTGCATTCTTGGTAGGATGTTCCAGAAATCCCCCAACAGACAAATCACAGATATTGAGGGGGGTGAACTTTGCTTTTTCCAAGTGCCAATCACACCAAAATGTCTGGCATCAAACAAGTCCTGACAATGGCTAACCAAACCTTCACAAGGGAGATACAATCCCAAGAGTAGATTTCTTGAAGTATTTGCTGCTTAAACGACCTTGGCCCTATAGGAAAGATTTTTCTCTGTGAATAAGGGGTATGGTAAAGTTACATGTGTCTGGAGCTGCTGGATTAACATCAAAATTTAATATAATCAACTGCCAAACATTTCAAGACTGCCTGTATTGCTTGACTAAGATTGCAAATAGTTGTAGGAGATCAGGCGTGTTTACACAACACCTTGAAACCACGCACCAGACTACACAATAGAGCACCGTAAGTATGTTATCCAAAATAGTTACTATAAAAGGTAGTAAACTATTCCAAAGGCATTCAAGAATGCATGTGATCTCACTTAGGATTGAACAAAGGAAACCTACAAAGCCACAGAATTAAGTCCTTACTTCCTGTAGGAAACAGAGACCTCGCCATCTTCCACTCCAAGGGCAGGGCACACTTCAACTGTCCTTCAGCATGAGCACAGAACACCACGTGTATGACGTATTTACCACGCGAAAGCCCTACCAGTACAAAACACTCCACTGCACATACAATTCTCCCCCTGGGAAAACTAAGAGAAAGCAAACCACCCGTAACAGATGGCAGTCGCGTTGCTTGATGAGCTACTGGAAGCTCGTTGATGAGGTGGCTTAGACCCCAAATGGAACCAAATTAGGCTGCCAGCAGTAGCAGCTGGAAAAGGAGCAGCAGCTAAAACCGTGAAGTCTGCTTCTCTTCCAAATGACACAACTGGCGAAGTATTGATGGCATATCACCAGGTATAAATGCAAAGAAAAGAGTGTCGCTTCTCTCAAGCTGGTACAGTCGATCCCTACGTAACATGCACATTACGTGCACGAGGGGATCTTGTATACTTCAGACGAAAAAAAAACTGCTTGAGCCAGAGGAAACAAAGTTAGGAATTCATTGAAAATTACAAAGCAAAGGCCAACTGAAGTGGGAAAACATGTCGTACCCTGCACTGAACGAGCCGGACCCAAGTTGGTCTCATGTGACGCTCGTCAATGTAGAGTCATTACTTGAAAAATCGTTACAGTATAAGCCCGTCCATGGTGGAGCTGCCCCTCTAAATTTATGTAATTTTAAACTCAGCTGTCCAAGCTGCCACCTCGAGGGAATCCCCGCCGGGTAACAGTCAGTCTAGCACAAACAGGTCTCGGGAAGAA